TACGATGCAGAATTTATAAGTAAATTGAGTGTTTGCATTGAACTGCTGCTTTCTCTGTGCGATGAAACTACAACGTTTTTCAGTAAAAGTATCTCTGAAAGTTGAAAATATAATCCTAAGTAAAAGATGTAGGATATATTTCTAGCTCATTACTCTTAAAAAAATAAAGGTTCTTTATTGGCATTGATGGTTCCATGAAAAATCTTTAACATTAATGGAAACTTTCCATTTCACAAAAGGTTTTTAGTTGGAAAGGTTCTTTAGTTTATTATAGTTTTCTTTACACTATGATGTAAAATGGTCATTTTAAGAACTGATCACTGAAAAGTTCTTTGGGGAACCCAAAATGGTTCTTTGGCACTGCTGTGAAAACCCCCTTTTGGAACTTTTAGTTTTATAAGTGTGGCTCAAATACTGTAGCTTGCAATACAATTTCAGGCAGCCAACTAATTACGTTTTATTGTCTTGTTTTACGGCACTTTACAATGTTTTACAGGCGACACCACTTGTCTAACTCTTGTTGATGTTGACTTATAAGTCCAGTGGTTTGGATGGCCAGCTGAGAAGAGCCTGCTTTTCCCATCGCCTCTTGGCCTGCAGAAGAGATCTGTAGCCTGAAACGCCCAATGAGGGAGACAGGCAGCTCCATAACTAACATATCAGATAGGAATGCTCTCCTTCTCTCTCTCAGTTGTCCCTCCAGTCCAAACTGAAAAATTGCATGTGGTTCAGCAAATGTGAGAAGTTCTTGTAGGAGCTACATTATTCTGTCAGTGTGGGCTTATGAGGGAGGTTCTTTCGACCATTAATAGTTTTGAATCCAAACTGTAATGTGGCAAGCTGATCACTCAAGTAATACATACAAGTCTGAGGACACAGCGGAAATCTGGGATAGAAAATCTGATTTAAACAGAAATGTATGAAGTATTAGGATTCTGATGTAAAATGAAGAAGAAAATATTTATCTAAACAAATTTTAGATATTGGTCTTGTGACATTGGTCTTGTGAACTCCATTGTACAGCAGATGTTCTTCTGCTAAAGCTCAAGATGTTCTTTGGATCTTCTCAAATCATGTTGTAGAACATGATCATCAACTTTTAAACAAACTTGTGGAATTCATGCAGCTTAGGTGCTCAGAATGAAAATTCTGTCATTAATTATTCACCCTTATGTCGTTCCAAACCCGTAAGACCGAGAATATTTTCTGTGCACACAAAAAAAAAAAAAACGACTTTATTCATCAATTTCTTCTCTTCTGTGTCAGTATTCAATGCGTGTTCACAAGAGTACCACAACGCATACGTGTGATGCTGCTGACGCAGGAGCTGCGTTCTGACGTAGAAACCGGATGCTCTGCACCTTGTTTATAAGCAGAGGATTGCACACGTATGCGTCGATGTCCTTTCTACCTTTCTGGGCTTTGAACGTGGTTGCGTTGATGTCTATGCAGGGTCAGAAAGAAATATCTTATCAAAAATATCTTAATTTGAGTCTGAAGATGCACGGTCTTACGGGTTTGGAACGACATGAGGGTGAGTAATTAATGACAGAATTTCCATTTTCCTTTAAACTGCCTCTCAGTGTTGAGTTGTTTGGTTTGGGATGAGGTCCCAAAATGAAGCTCTTCTCATGCCTTTAAAATCCAACTGATTCACTGACTGATACTCTTCCCAACAGCATAAACACACCCAAAAACACATTTTCAAAACCTCTTAAACCTCTTGTTCCACACTGTATGCGCAATTTATGATTTTCACCTGGATGATAACACACTTTTATATTTAGACTGAAGGAAGGATCTGAGCCAAAATGCCATAAAAACATGGGTGGGCTCTTTTGACTTATAAGTAACCATCAATAAGAAGGACTAATAAATAACCACTTAGCCACAGCCTAAAAAACAGCCTATAGAACCAAGAATACCTTACCGACCACCAAGCAACATCCTAGCAAACACCCTAACAAACGCCTAACTCACTCTAGCAATGCCCTAGTAACACCCTAGCAAACACCTAGAATGCCCTAGCAACCACTTACAACACCTTACCAACCACCTAGCAAACACCCTTAAAACCACATGAAACACCCTAGCAACCATCTAGCAAACACCCAGAACAACCAGAGCAACCATAGCACCACCCAAACAAACATTGTACAGACTACCTAAAACACCCTAGCAACCACATAGAACACCTTACCATCCACCTAGCAACACCCTAGCAAACACCCAGAACAACCAGAGCAACCACCTAAAATACCACCCAAGCAAACATCATAGAGACCACCTAAAACACCCTAGCAACCACCTAGAACACCTTACCAACCACCTAGCAACACCCAAGTAAACACCCTTAAAAAACTCAAACACCCTAGTAACCAACTCAACTCTCTACATTGCGAGTAAATCACTGGCATATGCAACTAAACCATGTCCACTCCCCCTAGAGCCCCACTGCGAGCTTTAAGTGAAGGGTAAGTCGCAAAGAACATAATGATGTGTAGCTCAGTTAGAAGGCAGAACGGCATGTTTCATTCAAGCGCTCAAACAACTGCATCAGGAAAGTGGATCCAGATTGCAGATTTGCACAATTATTTTCTAATACCAGAGCAGAGAATTTTGTGTATTTTGGTGTAATGAAATGTGTTTATGTGGTTTAAGGTTAAAAAAACACATTATTTTCCAAATACTGTACATTATTGTTTCTCCTCTATGCCCCGCCTTTCTGAAACGCGTTGATTTTTACAAAGCTCATCGTTCTAAAAAAGTGAGGTGTGCTCTGATTGGCCAGCTATCCAGTGCATTGTGATTGAACGCTACTCTACACTGCTCAAAACTAGCGTTTGAATCATCAGTGACAAATTCTTTAAATATGAAAACATACTTACAGGCTGTAAGTCAGAACAGCCGGCATTGTAGTCTACTCTCCCAGGATCAGGAAACAGTCCTCCGTAAAATGCGCTGGACACATCTGAATATTTGAGTTGAACTGTTCTGGAACAGTGTTGTAAATACAACTTAACCACTGATTTCTAGTCGTGTCCTCTTTTGAAACACAGCGTCTCCACGAAATGGCAGCGGCGGCAGCAACAGTACTACAGCGAGAATCAAAGTTACGCCTTCTTTCTTAGCGTGAACATTTGGGCGGTGTTATGCAAATCTTCCCACACAGTGACGTAGACATGTGGGGGCATGTTTAAACAAGGCGTTTTAGGTAGGTGTGGACGAGTCTTAACTTTTAAATAGAATATTTCTTTGGGTTTGAGACTTTAGTCTTTGCAACTTTAGGGATCTTATCTATTCACGAACAGCTTGTAACACTCCAAAGAGAAAGGAAAACTTGAAATCGCATCATATGACCCCTTTAAAAAGGCAAGAGGACAAGGAACAGAGAATGATTGTGTCATCTGATTCCTTTTAGAAGAATTTGCCCAAGTTGAATAAGACACCTCAGCAAGGTGCCATAAAACTCAGTGGGCACAGATGGCGGCTTAAAACTGTGCTGAGAGCATCAGAATACAAGATATGCTTGAAGTAGTGCCGTCACTGAATGTGGACTGATAATCTTCTTATGGCATAGTCAGCTTCAAAAAAAAGAATTTTCTATGAAAATAATCTGAATATCAGTTCATGTGATGACTAAACAGCAACACAAACTGGATTCCAACTGCATTTCATCAGCATTACTTCACCTATTAATCTGGTGAACACAAGTCACACTCAAGTTTTAACAGTGGTATTATGCTAAATCTCTTTAGTATGTGACTAATAAATTAACTTTATTATAGGATGTAATTCTAGGTTATTAGGATGCCATTCTAAATGTAAAATTATCTGGTCAAATAAAATGATGCACTGATTTAACTGTTTTTTTTATATATTATAAGCTTATATCTTACAATTGAATTTTTTCTCAGAATTGCAAGTTTACATCTCACAATTTTGACTTTTTTCTTGTAACTCTGAGTTTACACCTCTCAATTCTGACTTTTTTCTCAAAATTATAAAAATTATTCTAAATTTATAAACTATGAATTAACTTTTTTTATGTGATGGCGAAAATAAACTTCCATATATATATATATATATATATATATATATATGGGTCACTTTATAGCATATGAAAGAGAGACCAGAGCACATCAGGCCCCTCTCAGCTAAATCAATCCTAGTTAGTGCCAAAAACCCATGACATCATTTAGGAGTTTAGTGGCGGAGGGAGTGGTGAATAGCGCATCATAATTAAGGACACATTCTGTGCAGCTTTTATATGCTGGAGCTGTTTAGATTTTTACCATCTTTTACGTCAGCCCACACCCCTGTACTGCTTTATGTCTATTCTTTATGTTTTCGTTTACATGACGACTGTTTAATGGCATGCAATTAACTGTTATGAGACAAAAAACAAATGTAATCAAACCATAGACAGCATTCTAACGACAGCACAAACCCTGGAGTGATCCTGGAGTCCTCATTTAAACTGTGTGTGTATACATTGGACAGCACTAGGCAAATACATGCCAGGGCCCAAAAACAAAAAAAGCCAAGAGGACGTGGCAAATAACTTGAGTTTTTGGAGCACAAGGGCGGTATTCACTCCAAGACTGAAGCCCTTTCTGTTTCAGTTTATAACCCAGACTCTTATTCTGCTAATAGTTTACTAGCTGAACCACACGAATGTGATGTCACAATGTCAGGTATTATAATTAGTGTGTCATTCTCCTTTGATCATAATATAATACATTTTATCTGTCCACTTGTATTAGGCGCCCTTAGTATCACTGCAACTGGGGACATTATAATTCCTATAACTACTATGTGCAATTTATTAAATTACACTCCCATGAAATGCACTTTTAAACTTATAAACCAAAGCTCCCATGCAAAGTACTTTAACTTATGCAGAATTTAGGCAATGCAACCTTTTTATCCAGCATTCATATTACTTTAAGTCAGCAAAAAAATGGGGGTAAATATTCAGCTGAAAAGACTGAACAATAAAGAGAAGTGAATGTTGGAATGAGTTTCCACTCTGGTCCAATACTTCCTGTTCACTGCTGGCCAGATGAAATAAGAGCAAAACAATCCCCATTATGCAGGAACAGCTGTGCTCCCCATCAGGGGAAGGAAACCCATTCTCTACAGTATATGCGCTCAGAATGTGTGACATTCCAGTGAAATCACATACACACTTCAGTGCATTCACAAAGGTAGTATATCAGTGATTCTGAGAGTGCTGCAAAGGAGCAGTGGAATGCATACCTGAATATGAATATGAAAAAAAAAGGAAATTGTGGTAATACTTACATTACTGTCTCCATGTCATACACATTAGAAGGTCCCACTTTATATTAACTTTCTTTAACTGCCACACTTAAATAAGTGTTAAAGGTACAATGTGTTTATTGTGTTTATGCTACAGTATATTGCAAAACACTTTTCAGGTGGGATACAGGTAAGATTAGGGAGAGGATTCATGGTATGGTTAGGTTTAATAGTGAGTTAAGGTAGAGTCAACAGTGTAATTATGTGATTACAGAGATGTAATAACATGCAGGTATTTTTAAATGTAAGTGCAATGTAAAAACATGTATAGGTATGTACACAATAAATGCATTGTATGTCATGCCATAGTAGTTCCTGACACTTATATATAAAGGGGGCCCTAAGTTACTAAATTTGCACCTATGGCTAAATAAAAATTTTTGCTTATATTTAATACAACTGTTGCTTATGTGATATTTCTTAAATATTAAAGGAACAGTTCAGCCAAAAATGAAAATTTGCTCAAATTTACTCACCTTCAGGCTAACCAAGATGTGGATTAGTTTATTTTCTTCATCGGAAAAGATATGAAGATATTTTGCATTACATCACTTGCTCACCAATGGATCCTCTGCAGTGAATGGGTGCCGTCAGAATGAGAGTTCAAACAGCTGATAAAAACATCACAATTATCCATAAGTAATGCACACAACCCCAGTCCATCAAATAACGTTTTGTGAAGTGAAAATCTTTTCTTGTTTTATAAGAAATAAATCTATCATTAAGGCGTTTTAACTGGAAACCATTGCTTCTGGCCAAAATACGAGTCCATAATATGAGTCCATCCACCAACATATATGTTTAGTACTGTTTTGGACTGTTTTCGCTTGTATATAGTGCTTGATCTGTGTATATTTCTTTCCTGATCCAAGACAACTTTTTTTCAGACAAGGCAACTTTTTCACTTGAGAATGCAATATTATGCTTAGAGGACTCGTATTTTAGCCAGATGCAACATTTTGATGTTAAAAACATTAATGATGTTAATGATGGATTTGTGTGTTACAGTTTTCCTCCTCACAAGACGTTGAACATTTGTAGACATGGTTTTATCAGCTGTTTGGACTCTCATTCTGACGGCACCCATTCACTGCAGAGGACCTACTGGTAAACAAGTGATGAAATTTCTCCAATTCTTTCCGCTGAAGAAACAAACTCCTCTACATCTTGGATAGCCTACATAAACTTTCAGGAAATTTCCATTTTTGGAAACTATTGTTTTATTTAACCTGTATCATTACAACAAGGTTGACAAAATGATAATAAAGTGCATGGTTCATTATTCAGTATTTGACGTGATGTGTAGCCAAGTATGGTGTCCCATGCTCAGAATATGTGCTCTGCATTTAACCCATCCAAGTGCACACATACAGCAGTGAGTAGCGAACATACACACACACACCCCCGGGAGCAGTGGAATCCATTTTTTTGTTGGGACGCCCGGGGAGCAGTTGGGGGTTCAGTGGGGTCTCACCTCAGTCATGGTATTGAAGGTGGGAGAGAGCGCTGTACATTCACTCCTCCCACCTACAATCCCTGCCAGTACAGAGACTCGAACCCCCCACCTTTGAGTTACAAGTCTGACTCTCTAACCATTAGGCCACAACTGCCCCATTTATTTATGTAAATGCACAGCAGAGTGACTATGTAAACAACATGGAAATATTAAACAGCTATTGCATGACGATCAGCTGCGGGTTGACTGATCATACGTGGGGTTAAAGGTGTGGTGGGCCTTTGGTAGGTTTGGGTGGGTGTGCACTCTGCATCAAACTGTATAACATAAACTGATGACATTTCCTGCACTGCAGTAGTTCTCAAACGCATGTTTGATGTGTTTATTAAAGTTATTATTAGTTAAGGTTATTCTTGGAATTGAATTGCCTGCAATAACTTATATATTGACATAATAATTTAGTGGTTAGACGCTGAATTTGACTTCAAAAAATAATGCAAGAAATTTGTGGAAAAGGAAAAAAGAAGAGAGAGAAAGTCCCATTTAATTAGGCTATACTCAACTTATTAGTCTCAGCACTGGACATACGATGCAATCGTTAGTTCCACAGACTTTATAGTATTAGATGGAAGCCCGTTTACCTCGTATGTAGCTTATTTTACTCTCGTCCAACAGACTGGATGAGGATGCTCCCATTGTGCAGCGTGGTTTGTCGCGGCGGTCCCGAGCGGAGGCTTTTTCCCGTTTGTCCGATTCGGTTTTGAAGCGCAGCGGCTAGTTTGACTGTCAGATAATGCCGAGCGCAAATAAACTGTGACTCAAGCATCTCAAACTTCCTCAAACTGCAGCGCCGCCCGCTTATCCTCTCAGCTCTGTCAACATCTGTCAACAGGCAGCTTTGGCCATTTTTATAGAGTAGCCTAATGTTTTGACGTTAGACTGCCTTGTTACTTTATTAATGTATTTACGGATATTTGCAATATAGCCTACACCTCTTTGTATATCACCGCGAAAAAAAGTTATTTTGAGAAACTTTATATAAAAAGACAGTAGGCCTATTAACCGTTTGCCAAGATATGGCATAAAAATGGTTTATTTGAAAAGTATTAGAATGTAGAGCAGAACTTACGTAGTTTATAATTGTTTTAATCAGCCTAGGTATTCTAGGGATCGTCTACAAAGTGCAAAACGAAGAAAATAAACGTGGGGTGCGTCCTCTGGTTGGAATTAGCCTACTCATAATTTAAAAAAAAAAAGAACAGTAAGATGCGCACAAAGAAGACGCAAAGTTTTACACATGTATTTTGTGTGTTGCTATTCAGAATGAATCCTGTTTAATAAATAAATAAATGAATGAATGAATGAATGAATGAAGTTTACAAGTTATAAGGGATGTGACGCTTATGTTATACTCTACTCCCCCCTAGTGGCAAACTTTGTGTTACTCTCAATGCTAAAAAAATATTTCATCTCCATGGTGTTTTGTGTTTGGAAACCCTTTTCTATGGAACGATTTTCCGGACAATTTTCAAATAGAATAGCAAATTGTATTTTCAATTGCGTTTTCAATATGTGGACGCATAAATTGTGACATAATCCAAATGCAATTGCAAATCCTGCATTACCGTTTGCATTTTCGCTTTCGCGAACGCACAGTGACTTTTGCTATTCTATTTGAAAATTGTCCGGAATATCGTTCCATACTTTTCCGCCACATAAGAAAAAATGTTTTGGTAAATCATGATGACATAACATTTTGAATTTTTATCCCATAATTATGACTTACCTCATATTTTGACTTCGATATAACTGTTTAGTCATAATTTCAATTTTTATATCATATAAGTATGCTACCTCATAATTTAGACTCTTTATTTCATAACTTTATTCAATTTTGTCATAATTTTGACAGGTATTTAGATTTTATTTTTTGTCATAATTTTGACTTTTAACTGCTTTAATTATCCTATGATATATCTCATAATTTTGACTTAGCATCTCATGTTTGACTTTTATGTCAAAATATATTTTTTTTTACCAAAACATGTTTGTTTGTTAGTTTGTTTTATTTCTTTTATGTGGCGAAAATGGATTTCCATTTTGTTCTACCTTAAACGCTAGTCAAATAAACCTTAAGTTTTTTTTTTCTAGGATGATCAGGTTAAACCATCAACACAATGCTATCGGCCCGTCCAAGCCACTTTAATAAGACCATCTGTGGTGCATTCATCTTGGGGAAACACTTTGGACAGGTGTCTAGTCCATCAAAGAGCAAGCATACATACATACATACACAGAATTACAACGGCTGTAGTCTTTTCAATTTTCTTTCAACATTATCATATTTAAATATTAACTTGTAACAAAGCTGAACATGACGTGTAGTTTATGCAACTGAACTGAAAGAAAGAAAAAACTATGCCCCACATGTCTTTTTGCACACTGAAGTGTTAACAAGCGTCAACCGTTAACAACTGAAAAGATAATACTACATTTCCCAGAGTTCATTTAGGCCCACTGAATCCGCCATATTGAGCTCGGCAGAACGCGCTGGCAGGGAGAGAGTGTTCATAACATTGAGATGTAAGTATGTAAACAGCTGCGTTTTTGCAGAAATAGATGCTTTGTTGTTGTCGAAGTTGACGTTTACATTGGCGCAAAGGGTATTATATGTTACAAGCTTCGCCGACAATGTCTTCATAATTGATTTAAAGGAGCCTGTAAATACAGCATCTGGATTAGCAGAGAGAGTTAGCCGTTAGCTCTACGTTTTCATGACAGCGCAGGAGATAAAACCTTTCCGCCTTTTTTTTTCTCTCCCGTTTATTTTGCTTTAATAACTGTCCGTTGCTGGAGAGCAGGCACTGTCATGCAGTAGACGCGTTGTACGTGTAGGCAGATGCTTTGTGTATTCATTGACACAAAGAGTTAGAAGTGCCTTCAGGAGCTAATTTTAGTCTGCTAGCTCTGCGTTGTTAGACAGATTCATCGTTTATTATAGCATGATGACCTAAAAAATAAACAAAACAAAAATGCAAAGTTTATGACTAAAGTAAACATGATAGAGGCTAAATTGACTTAATGAAGTGGCATCTTTCAGTTTAAACCAACGGCAACAGACCATAACATCCCTCAGATGTCAGTTGTTGTCAGTTGATGCTGTCTTTGTCCAAAACAATGCTATTTGAAAATTATGTTTTGTGTAAATTCTAAATAGAAAATATTTAATGATGTATGAATTTTGACATTAAACACACAATAATCGTTTTGTTTTGAGTTAGTATCTCACCAAAACTATATAGTATAGTATACTATATAATATAAGTGACGTGACATGTGGCCAAGTATGGTGACCCATACTTCGTTGGTGCACGAAGTATACATAGTGCTCTGCATTTATCCCATCCAAAGTGCACACACACATCGTGAACACACACCCGGAGCAGTGGGCAGCCATTTTTGCTGCGGTGCCCGGGGAGCAGTTAGGGGTTCGGTGCCTTGCTCAAGGGCACCTCAGTCATGGTATTGAAGGTGGGAGAGGGCGCTGTACATTCACTCCCCCCACCTACAATCCCTACCGGTACGAGACTCGAACCCGCAACCTTTGGGTTACGAGTCCGACTCTCTAACCATTAGGCCACGGCTTCCCCTAAATATAGTAGATTTTGATATTCGTTTCTGCACATCATGTCAATACTGTTCACTCTGTTTTTCACAGAGGTGAAGGACACACAGTGTATAAAGATGACACAAACGGTCCAGACGAATGGGATTCAACCCCTCAGTAAAACCTGGGAGCTTAGTCTCTATGAATTACAGAGAACCCCACAGGTAAGAAAATTCATTTACCAGTTATTGTCCACAATTGATACGTTCAGATTTTTCAAGTGCCATTCTGACTGTATCTTAGTGAAACCCTGTCGAGAGATGGTTCTTGGATATGTGGTTTAGTGTCAGACCCTCAATGCAGCTTCTGTGGTGTTGTGATCCCATAGGAGGCCATCACGGATGGTCTGGAGATCGCCGTGTCCCCACGCAGCTTGCACAGTGAGCTCATGTGTCCTATCTGCCTGGACATGCTGAAGAACACCATGACCACCAAGGAGTGCCTGCACCGCTTCTGTGCCGACTGCATCATCACTGCGCTCAGATCGGGGTGGGTTTGTGTTATATGTTACATGTTTTCTTTGTGATGTGAAAGAATACAAGATAGTATCACTGGATTTTTTTCCCCCAGGTGTGATATGATTGTAATAAGATATGAAATAAAGACCAAATCAAAATTGCAAATTCTTTTATGGAATACATTCCATAAAAAATTAATATTTTATGGAATATTGCAGTGTATATTATATGTGATTTATTTGTTCACATCATTTTTTTCAGTCCTTTAATCTTTGATCCTTAAAGGGTTAGTTCACCCAAAAATGAAAATTAGGCTGTGTTTTACTCACCCCCGAGGCATCCTAGGTGTATATGACTTTCTTCTTTCAGACGAATCCAGTCGGAGTTATATTGAAAATTGTCCTGGCTGTTACAAGCTCTATCATTGCAGGCAGCAGGTGTTGCAGTGCTTCAGTCCAAAAGAAGTGAAATAAAAAGCGCCCATCCATAAAAAAAAAAAGTGCTGGAGCTGCTTCAGTGTACAACTGTTGGCGCAAGCTACATTAAAGTGATTATTACGTTTTGAATATGGATATTTGTCTTACAAAAACGCATCGATTCGCTACAGGAGGACTTTGTTCACGCCTCGGAGCCGTGTGAGATTTTTTTTTATTTTTTATGGATGGGTGCTTTTTATTTCACTTCTTTTGGACTGAAGCACTGCAACACCTGCTGACTGCAATGATAGAGCTTGGAATAGCCAGGACAATTTTTTAATATAACTCCGACTGGATTCGTCTGAAAGAAGAAAGTCATATACACCTAGGATGCCTCTGGGGTGAGTAAAACACAGCCTAATTTTCATTTTTGGGTGAACTAACCCTTTAAATCTTTAATTTTTTTTCTCATTCGAGAAGCCTTTTCACCCACATATGTCACAATAGAGAAGAAAAGATGCTCACAATTTCTGTTTCATGCCTTTTTTGACTGTATCTTCACAGGAATAAGGAGTGTCCAACATGCAGGAAGAAGCTGGTGTCTAAGCGCTCCCTCCGTCCAGACCCCAACTTTGACGCCCTGATCAGTAAGATCTACCCCAGCAGAGATGAGTATGAAGCCCATCAGGAGAGAGTGTTGGCCCGCATCAGCAAGCACAACAACCAGCAGGCGCTCAGCCACAGTATTGAGGAGGGCCTAAAAATCCAGGCCATGAACAGGTTAGATGTCTGATATAAATCCATGTGGAAAATATGTTTTCTTGTATTTACGTTTATTCATGTTTAGTGTTATTATATCTCTTATCTATGGCTGTCATGTGCTGAAATCAGTTGTAACTTGACAGGATTTTGAATGCTAGATTTTTACTCTTTCTTTTGTCATTTCTGTCACTTTTTGTGGACGGAATGTTAATTTTGCTGGGGGTTTTTTTTTCTTCGTCATCTGCTCTTGCTACTATGTTCCCCCCGTTCCACCACCATGGGCTCTGTAGACTGCAGCGGGGGAAGAAGCACCAGATTGAAAATGGCAGCGGGGCAGAGGACAATGGGGACAGTTCACACTGCAGCAATGCATCAGTTCACAGTAACCAAGAGGCCGGACCCAGCATCAAACGAACCAAAACCTCAGACGATTCTGGACTGGACATGGACAATGCCACAGAGAACGGAGGAGGAGACATGGCAATGGACGGGGCCAGCGAGATTGAGCTGGTGTTCCGCCCTCACCCGACGCTAATGGAGAAAGAAGACGCCACGCAGACAAGGTGAGCCAGTTCTGTTTCAGTTAGTTTTGCTTAACCAATTTAGCATCATTTTAGCTTTGTGTTTTAAACCAGTTTCTTTGGTTCATTTTGTTATTTAGTCTTAATTTAAATGTGGAATTTGTTACCAGGTACATTAAGACTTCGGGGAACGCCACAGTGGACCACCTCTCCAAATACTTGGCTGTCAGACTGGCTTTGGAGGAAATGCGCAAAAACGGAGAGGCAAGTCCCATCAACGTAGAGGCAGCCAGCGAAAAACAGTACACCATCTACATCCCTACCGCAAACAACCAGTTCACGGTAAGTTTGGTGCCGCTTCATCTAGGGCTGCACAATATGGTCAAACAATCATATTCTGATCATTTGGACAAAGATTGTGATATGATAAACATTTAGCATCTCATACTTCTACTTGGATGCCACACCATTTTCAACCAAGCTTCACCAAGCTTATCAATTTTGCATTGCTTTCAAGCCAAAAATATTTAGATCTCCTGTCAAAAGAAGGAAAAACTAAAATATATGAACAAAGTTTTTGAAGAATCTTTAACATCCATGGAATTGTTCCCATTTCACAAATGGACCTTTATAGAGGAAAAAGATTCTTTAGATTATTCAAATATTCTTCACACGAAGAAAAATGGTTCTTCTAATATTTGAGTAAAAGGTTCTTTGGGGAACAAAAAAAGTTTTTTATATGCACATGCATACAGATGTGACATCACATGAACTAAGACTCCTATTCCTGTAAACTGGTGATTGTCATGCATATATTTCTTCAGTATGACAGTGGCCATTTTTCCATCACAGGTCCTGAATGGCTCTTTCTCTCTAGAGCTGGTGAGCGAGAAGTACTGGAAAGTCAACAAGCCCATGGAGTTGTACTTTGCTCCAACGAAGGAGCACAAATAAATCCAGTGAGCCTGACCCAGGACAGAATGTGAAGGTTCATCCTCTCTTCTCTCTCCCTGTTTCTTTGTCTTTCTCTCACTGTTCCTCCTCATTTGGAGTATACTAGTCTCTGGAGCCCCAGCTCCTCAATAACTGTGGCTGCTTTGATTTGAATTTTTTTATTGTCTTTTTGTATGGGAACGAGACCAGGGTTGATCATTGGGAGTGGGGTGGGAGGGCCATGGAAGTCAAACCAGTGTGAATTCGTTCCCCCCCTTCAGTTGACACAATCATTTCATTGTTACATGTTGAGTCCTTTTTGAGTCAAGAGGACTCCGATATTGCCTTCAACAAGCCAAAATTTCAGTCTACAAAATGGATATTGCATCCGTAACACCATGAGGAAATCACACTGAGTGCTTCATGAGAGACTCTGTCAGAACGTGGCTTTCGTAGCCAATGGCGCTGTCCTTTAATATTAGACTTGACCAATGACATTCGCAGAGCTGTAAGAAATTTTAAGTGCATTTTCAGACACACCACTCCTGTAGCAGCAACATTTGTTCACTAACATGACTGCATCTTGCCAGTACAATGTACCAGTACAATGTGATGGCTTAGTTCACATGACACTGTCATGTCACTAGTCTGTACTACTATGTTGGTCGTCAGATGTTTCGGAGATTGTACATACCTACATCACTTTATAGAATAATTACCTGGAAAAATGTATATTGACAACATTGTTACAGTTATTACAGTACCGTTTCATAAAAACGTAAGTTGGCAGTTGTATATTTGGGACCCAGTTTTTAATAGTTTCATAGACGCTTCATCTAAGACAAGGAAAACTTTTTTAGAGCATGAAGTAATTTTAGTTTGACTTCCTTGGCATACATTTGAGTTCATGTTGTTGTTTGGGGAAAAAAAATGTATACAGCATTCTTTGTTTGGAAAATAAATAAAAAATGTATGCAAATGCTAGTCACACTTTGTGTCATTTAAAAAATGTATAGTGGAGTAGCAACAACACAATTCCAGCAGATGGCGCTAGTGCTTCAGTTCTTTTAAGGCTATGGTCAGTGATACGCTATAAATGTTATGGAATATAATAATGGTTGTCATGGTGTAAAGACATGCCACAATATAAATAAGTGATTAACTTAAAAAAAAATGTACGGTAAGTAAGACCAATACAGTTTTTAAAATTCTGGCCGATACGATAAGCCAATAATTATGATACTATTTTGTCTTAAAATAAAATAAAGACCAAAATAAGTTAATTAAGGCATCACAGCATTATAAAGTACAGCATGAAAATGGATATTAACTTTGAGATTTGCAAAGTAATTTTTTTTTTTAAAGATTAGTGATTATAGCATAGGTCAGGGATCCTCAAATCTGGCCCACGAGATCCACTTTCCTGCAGAGTTTAGCTGTAACCCTAATCGAGAACACCTGAGCATGCTAATCAATGTCTTCAGGATCATTAGAAAATCACAGGTAGGTGAGTTTGATCAGGGTTGGAGCTAAACTCTGCAGCGCTTTGGCCCTCCAGGGCAAGATTTGAGGAACCCTGGCATAGGTAATCGAATGTGAAGATAGGGGAAATAAAAAAAAATACATTTTACAATATATTACACTAGTTGTTTTATTGTAATATTTCACAATAATACCGTTTTTATTGTGCTTTCCTTGGTGAGCAAAAGACAGAGGGCCTCATTTTTAAAACGTGCGTACGCACACTCTACGATCAAATCTGTGCGTACGCACGTTTTAAAAATGAGGCCTTCTGTCTTTTGCTCACCAAAAATCCACGGCAACGTTCATATTTATAAAAACGGTCTTTGACGTGGAAAAGAGCTTAGCGCCACGTCAGGGTCTGAGCAGACGTACGCACTTTTGTTTGCCCGAGTGCTGCAGGTTTTTGGAAATCTAAGCCATTCTTGCCGCTTGTAAAAGATTTGGACATTGTCAGGTGCTCTTTTATAAGTCAAGGACATTAATTAGACATTGTTTACAGGGCGGAGATCTGAAACTGTTCAGCTGCGCACAATTTCAAGATCATTGCAATTTATAGATTTCACATCTAAAAGAGAGGTGTACGCACGTTTTCTGTGCGTACGTTCGTTCTATGAATCACACGTACGCACTTTGAGAAATGATCGTAAAATCAAATTTAGGATTCTTTCTACGCAGTATTTTATAAATGAGGCCCAGAGAGAGAGAAACCATTTAAAAATCTTACAGACCCCAAACTATAATAAAAACTCTAATTTTAGCCAATAACTGTTATGCTACCACAATATTGTGGTATATACTGTCAGTAATGACTTATAAACTTACCTGTGAAACATAGAATGTTTCTTTTATTATTTATACAATGTTACATATATCAGGAAAGGTCTCACATTCATACTCCCCTGTACTCTGAGACAAAGAGGTAAAGCTGTCACTCGAACCTTAAAGGTACATATTAGTATATAAAGTGTACATATTAGTACCTTTTAGCTTTTGTACCTTAGGATACCACCCAGCTGACAGCTTTGTACCTTTTTTTTCTGAGTGTGATTGCTTCACCTCTAATGTATGAGTTCAGCAGATCTGAAGCTGAAGTTGTAACGAGGCCGCTGTAGTAGGTCGTGTAATCTGTGAAGATTAGTGAGAGCTTTTACAGTTCTGATGTAATCCCATGTCCAGTGATGTGCTAGTCTCGCCGTGTGATGCTCTGTAGCACTACTTATTTAAAAAGTTAGTGTAATGGCTGTTTATGCTCAAACATCAGTGTTTCTCTATCCTGCTCATAAGAGTCAATGCTGTGTTTTTCATAGTTCAGGTCATATATACGGCTCCACTAATGAAATGATGAGAGTGTTAAATGAATGATTAAACGCATTAAATGAAATGGAGAAATGCTGGTCTGAATCTGTTGATATTCAACCACAGGTTTGTTTTCTTTCAGTTAGGTCCATTGTGGCTGCATTTTTCCTCCTGTACATGATCTCCTTCCCTCTGTACGTTTGGCTTCCGCTTGTCATTCTTCTCTGTGGACTGGACTGTTGACACTATATGGGCCTTGTTGTGGTTTATTCTTCCACATTCTCCGCAAGTTCTTATAACACATGAATCATGATGCATGTGGCTTTTCATTTTCAAATACTTTGCATTTTACAGCCATCGGGCCTGGAGGGCAGTGGAACAACAAACTGATCTCTTTCTTACATGTTTTTCATTTCATATATTATAAATATAATAATCACACATTAAAAACAATCACTCTCACTTTTACTATTTGCAAACTGTGTATATTTGCATAATAAATCATGTGGTGCTGTGTATATTTTTATTATGCTTTATCGTGTATCAGAAAGAATCGGTGTTTGTTTAAACTCTCTCTTGCTTTATTTATCACAGCTGCCTTGTAACTTGAGGATCATAAATTAATTTAGTTAACCTTCTTGTGCACATATCTTCACCTCAAATAGTATTATAATAGTAATAACATTTTGTCTTTATGTTCCACAGTAGAATGTAAGCCATTCAGGTTTGGAACGAGAAGAGAGTGAGTAAATGATGACACAATGAGCATTTTTTGGGGGTCAGCTATTCCTTTAAGTATTTAAAAATGTATGAATATCACTGCATTAGTTATGAAAGTAAGGAACATTATTTAAAAGAAAGATAGTAATTACACTTTACACTAATTACACACATAATGGATAAATAAATAGATATACTGATCAATTATATGGACACTTTCTGGTCAGTTTAACATGTCAGTGAATGTGATGAACTCCATCTGGTTACCTGTGTGAACTGGACAAGAAATTATTTCTCACAGTCATTGAGATTTTATTTATTTATTTGGTCAAAACGGCTCAGGATGTCAAGTTCTGAGTATGAAAAACAAATCAATCCAAGTGATGCTAGATCTTGTTTTCTAATGCACTGAAATTCATATATTTGTGTGTCTTTGAGTACACCATATTCAGAAACATCAGTTGTATTGGTAACTCTTTACAATAAGGCCCCTTTAGTTAACATGAGTAATTAAATAATTGTTGTTAACGTTATTTAATACAAATTCATCTGTTAGTTTAAGTTGGTTTTAGGTCCATTAAATATTATTCACATATACAACTTTTGATTTTAATAATGTATGTTGAAATTAACATTACCAACATGATCAATAAGTGCTTTTGAAGTGTTGTTCATTGTTAGTGCATGTTAACTAATGTAGTTAACTAATATTAATCAATGTAAAGTGTTATCGTCATACCTGATTTACTGATTCACAAATCTCCGCCTTATCTTCTCTGTTCCTGTATCCTGTATAAGCTGTATGGACTGTGATACATTCCAAGCGGCCTATTAATATGACCTCAGGTGACCTGCCAGTCGTTTATATGTCAGGCCATGTGGTTCTTGTACAGTCAGAGTTTGTCTGTGTTGGGTCGTACATGTCCGTTCTGCACAGTTTGCTATGCGTCCATTCATAATGGATTTTACAGCCTCGCCATGAGGAGGCAGCTGACCCTCACTGCAGTCTCACAAATGTGTTTTTGCTAGTGCTCTCAGGGCAGTTTGAATCTCAGCGCGGTCGGGGTCATGGCAGGGGCCGCTAACACCCCGCTGACTTGAAAGGACCAAGAGCTGCAGCCTCCCACATCAAAGATGAGCCATGCATTTGTAAAAGCCCCTGAAAGTATATCTATATAACCTTAAGCACTGTGGAATTTTCACAGATCAAAAATGATCTCTGTGGACCCGTCAGGTTGATTTTTAAACCTATTTGACTCTTTTAACAATGTCAGAGGCATACAGGCATTCATTTTTGAGTAGTTGGCTTCTGGTCATGCTGTATATGTTTGCTTGTGTTGTTAGTTCTTCTGGTGCTCACAGAGTTGCAAGCATGAGATTAGAAAATCTATTAATATGCTGTTGATGTTCATTTTAAACTGTTCTGAGCTTTTAAACTGGTCAATAATCACTTGTCTTTACGTCACCAGCACTCGTAGTTTGATGTCTCCTGCCTCTCAATGGTTTGCAGATGGCAACATTAAAGGTGGGGTAAGCGATTTCTGGTAGCCAATGTTGACATTTGAAACCACCAAAACAAACACGCCCCTACCACAAAAGTGTCTCGCCCCTATTTTGATAGCTCCGCCCCACACATACGTACACAAC